CATTTTATAACCGGAAAATGTACAAGTACCTCCTCAATCTACGCTTGAAATTTCAGAGACACACTTATATTATACTAAGGTCTTATTATCCCTGAACTTATTTTATAAGTAATTTTCTACCCCTTTTCGGCCTACGTCGCACTAGCTTGAAAAAAAAAGTCAATCATCATTGGGCCCACAAGATAGTGTCACGTAGGTCGAAAAGGGGTAAAAATTACTAATAAAATAAGTTCACGGGAATAATAGAACCTTAACATAATATAAATGTGTTTCTGAAATTTCGAGCGTAGATTGAGGGGAAACTTATACATTATCCCTTTTATAACTTGTGAGTATGTGTGAGATAAATTTAACAAGACTCAGATGCATTAAAAAATTAAGACTAGTGATTTTAAAATTAAAAGTTAACCAAAATCAACATTGTAGGTATATGATAACAAACTTTAATTCAAAATTTGAATCTCCTTCACAAGTTCGATAAGGTTCTACGTGTGATACCCTAATATTCCATTTCAGTAATGCGTGGTCTTTAATCAGCAAACAACAAAACATTATCATGCTAACCTCGAGCATGCCCATGCTCTAGTTATATCTTATCTTCAACTAAAATTATTTAAGCATGATTTGACTATAAAGTACTCCCTTCGTCCTGAATTATTTGTTATGTTGATTTGATTAATTTTCAAAGGTAAATTAGATTATTACATTAATTTGATATTTTAAATAAAAAAATTAGATATTCTTAAACTATATGAAAAGTAGTATAAATTACAAGTTTTTGTATATTAATATGATGAAAAAATTCATCTTAAAATATTGATCAAAGTTCTTATAATTTGACTCTAAAATAAAAAACATGACAAACACTAATTATTTTTCATTTACTTTCTCTCTCATGATAAAGACCACAAGCAAAAAGAATATCGACCAAATGTTAATGAGTGATAATATTCAACTTGAAAAAAGTTGAATTAATAAATTGGAGAATTAAATGTAAAATGTGCAATTTCATTCAACTAGAGGATTTATATTAGATTTAGCTCCTAATTAATTTTAAGAAGATTCATTTTCTTGTATGCAATGTTAAGGAAAATTTGTTAAGAGTTTCTACTGTATTGTGTGAGTTATTTTGTTGATGTGATTTAAATATTTTGATCTAAATTCTGAAATTGAATTAATTTTCTTTTTGACATAGTATTAGAGTCAGATGCATCCATATCAACGTGGTCCTATTACATTATCCAAGCACCATATGTCCAAAATTAATAATTTCGAAAGGCACTTCCTTTGAAAGAAGGGAAAATTTATACCAAATCAAAAATCATTTTCATTAGTGAAAAAGACTTTCATTACAACCACTCCAAGACTGACAAATAAGTTTGGGGATTGCCGATTAGCAAATAAATTAGTCACGCTTGATTTGATTAAAGAGAAAAGGATCCAAATCTAACCAATTATTTAAGGCGAAGTAAACATTTTAATTTCATAGATTTGAAACATTAAAAAAAATACATTTTATTGAGTTCTTGATAATATATTTGAGTCACGTCTATTATTAATATATGTATTTTGAATCACGTCTATTATATATTTATTTAAATTACGTGTATTATTAAATTCTACTGAACTCACGTACAAAGAATATTGCAAATTAAGGTATTTTGTATAATAAAATCATGTTTTCTATTCAATTTTCATCATCTATATTCAATATACAATAAGTGATGTGAGGTTTGCGTTAGCCACACGTGATTGCGATGAGATTAAATTAAATAAACCATCATTTCGATCTAATAGTGATTGAAAAAATCTACTATAGTACTCTCTATTTCAAAAAAGTTAATGATAGTTTCATCTGATCAAAAAGATATAATCATGCCTTTTCTATTTTAATAAAAAATACCATTTATTTTGAATAGCAAAAATATGAAAATTTAATATCTTTTTCTCAACTAGATGATGATATGATCATAAAGTTGATAGGTAAGTATGAAGCTCTAATGAGATATCATTGCCCAAAGCTTTCTACCATTAGAGTCCACAAATTAAAGGAAAAATCAGTTCTCTTGTTGGGGGACTATGGAATTAAAAGTAACGTTATCTCTTAATTTGTAGGTCCTTAAATAAATGATTATTAGATAGATAAGCCTATGATTTGAACTCTAGATGCCACATTGTGTAATCGTAATAATGGGTCGGTATACTAGTTAGCCGACGACGCTTTGCTAATTAAGTAGAGAGTTTATCAGAAATAAAAATTTCTCCATTTATCATATTCTCTTCAAACTCCTAAATAAGTTTTGTAAAACTATATAGTAAAGCAAACATCCCTAATATATAACTATTCAACTACACGGTAATTTTAAAAATTTATTAAGATGTTCCTTTGAATTTCTTATAAATTGTGCCTATATACGGTCCTTACATCAGACCAGGGGCGGAGCTACAACCTAGTAAAGATGGTCAGATTAACATTTTTCGTCGATAAAATATAGTCTAATATCTGGATATATTATATATTGAACACTCTTCACATAACAAATGCAGATAGTCTAGCGGTAGGCACCCTCATTTACTGCGCCTACTCATGGTAAAAAAAACAAAACAAAAGTTTTGTGTATTCACTCCGCTAAAAAAAGATTATCAACTCTTTAACGATTGAACTATCTTGATGAAATTTTTAGCTCCGCCACTGAATCGTCAGACTGATACTTAGACACTCTAGATGAATTGATGTCGAATACTGAATACAAATAAATACATAAAATTCTAAAACACGACATCTTTTATTATCGCGTTTCAGTTGCGGAAGATGTTAAATATGGGCCCAATTAGAATAGTTGGGCCGATCCAAAACCATTTTAATTTTATGGGCTGAAACCGCAAAAAATCTCAACTGATTCGGCGTTTTCAGATCATTTTATTTTATGAAAAAATAAAACAAAATTACAAGGAGATGATTTGTTCTTCTAGCTTACGCGTGTCCGGTTCCGGCAGCGGCACCAGAAACAGTCCATCTCCACCGGCGATTTCTGATAATTCCGATGATTCTCAGTCGCAGGTACGAAGGATTAAAGCCAGCCCTCAGCTAAACCGGTGGTCCAGAGCTCGAAGCATCCGGTCCGGCAGGAAACTAGACCGGTCCGCTGTGAGCACTGAATTACGCGACAAGTCTGGTTCACCGGTTCGAAGTGAACCGGAAATTGAATTGCCTATAGGTGATAGCAGGTCCTGGTCGTCAGACGATGAAAAGGAGGTTAATGGTGGAAAACCGATATTTATGGTGTCTGATGGAACCGGATGGACGGCGGAGCACGCCGTTAACGCAGCTTTAGGTCAATTTGATTATTGCTTAGTCGATCGTGTTTGCCCTGTGAATACTCACTTGTTCTCTGGGGTAAGTTTGTTTATCTGATTATAATGTCTGTTTAATAATACAATATATATTTTTATACTGTTACAATGTATTGTGTTAAGTATGTATCGCTGGAGTTGTAAATTTGATTCATGTGAAAAGCATTCTGTATGAATGACCATGTTAACTATCTAACTAATTATTTGATGATTAAGCTTAGTTTTGAACTTTTTATGCTTGATGGACCTTGATTTTTCTAGATTGATGATGTTGAAAAATTAATGGAGATAGTGAAGCAAGCAGCCAAAGAAGGGGCAATGGTTGTCTATACTTTAGCTGAGCCTTCCATGGCTCAATTTGCCAAACAAGCATGTGAACACTGGGGCGTAGCATCTAGTGATATACTCGGGCCAATTACAGAGGCAATTGCTGGCCATCTTGGTGTTTCACCTTCTGGCCTTTCTCGTTGGGCTCCTGAGAGGCAGAAATCTCCTCTCAGCGAGGAATACTTCAGGAGGATTGAAGCAATTGAATTTACCATAAAGCAAGATGATGGTGCCTTGCCGCGAAACCTGCATATGGCGGATATAGTTCTAACTGGTGTTTCACGAAGTGGGAAGACACCGCTATCCATTTATCTAGCACAGAAAGGATATAAAGTAGCTAATGTCCCCATTGTCATGAATATAGACTTACCAAGTACACTGTTTGAAGTTAACCCGGAAAAGGTTTTTGCTTTGACAATAAATCCCGTTGTTCTGCAATCCATCAGAAGAGCAAGAGCTAAGACTCTGGGTATGGACGGACAACTGAAGACCAACTATTGTGACATGGATTACGTGAAAGAAGAATTGGAATACGCAGGGAAAATTTTTGCGCAAAATCCTGTCTGGCCAGTGATAGGTAATTCACATTCTTTATTTTTTTTTTGGTAGTTTGTTCTGTGCTCAAGTTTTTCTGTTGTCTGATAGTAGGAGTAAATCCTTACTTAACAATTAGGTGTTAACCTCCACAATTACGCCAACAGACGAATTTGAGGAAGTTAATTCCTAGAAATTTTGTTGATTTGTTTTCCCCATTGTTGCTTTGGCTGCAGAAGTTACGTCTAAAGCTATTGAAGAAACAGCTGTTATTGTTCTGAGACTTTACCATGACAGAAAGAATAGATGTTCAATGCCAAGAATTTCCAAACGCTATTAAACTGTGTTTCTCAAGCATTGATGTATCAGATCTCAAAGACAATACTTGAAATCCAAGATATCTTCTTTGTGCTGGCAGAGTGCCAGAGCAATAAACGTACTGCGGTTGCAACCTATGTATAGCAGGTGTTGGTACATTTTGTTTGATATTGTATAATACTCTATGTAGTTTGCACACATAATAGGTAATGTCAACTCTTACTGTATCTCAAATAATTATTCCAACGATATAAACTTTGAATACAGATAATGTTGTTGCATCTCCCTTACATTTTATAAATGTGTATCATTGCTACTTTGAAGTTGGCATAGGATCTCAAAAGAAACCGAGATGAGTAGGAGGCAGGACATGAAGGAAATGTGAGAAAAATAGCAAAAGGTTGGTTATTCCTCGCTCTTCATTAAAATTTTGTGAATTAGATCTGTATACAGGGCAGCGTAACTCCTTTATTTGTTATTAAAACATCAGTCAGTATGAGATACCGACAACTTCAAGTTGTATTAACAACTCATCTACAAGTTTAAGTTGTTAGAAATAATACACTTTGATTTGCTTTGTTTGTGTTTTCAACATGTCTTCTCATGCGATCATGTTTCCTTGTTTAATGAGCGAAACATATGATGGTATAAAAATTCTTTTGCATTGCGACTGTATTAAAGTTAGACTCATTTTATACATCTGCCATTTGAATTCTTCCTAAAAAGAAGGTCTATCTGTTTTTTTAGCATCTCTTTGACTCCATTCCTTTCTTTGTACTTCCAAATGTTCACAGATAGTCTGTCACCCGAAAATCAATTATGCTCAATCTCTTCTGCTTCGATATCATACAGACTTTTCCATCACTTTGTTATTTTAGGAGGGAAAACAGTTTTTGACGTCTTTTCTATCAACTGAGAATGTTGTCTTCTCCGTTGATCGTGGCAATGAATAGTATGAAGATAGATCAATACGAAGCTTTATCTTCTCCATTGAGCTTGGTCATGGATAGTGTGAAATAGATCAGCAGTATTGTTCCCATACTTGATCTGTAAATGTAGAAAAAACAAGAACAAAAAGTCAGTTGTTTATACAATGCAAATCATTGGTTTAGTCCATGCCTATTTAGTGGTTTATGCCCCTATTTGGCTTCAGTTAGTCAAGTTCAGGAACTGTCAATAGTTATTCACACCGAGTTTAGGGTGTTTTCAATACTTTTCTCTTCTATTTAACTGGTTAAGAGAACTTACAAGGTAGCAAAGAAAATAAGTATCCTCCTGGGATCAATGGTCCAAGGCGAGGAGGAAGAAGATCGTCGGAAACTGAATCTCTTGGAGACAGCTACTTTACCATCGATGGCGGTGGTGGTGGTGGTGGTGGCAGCAGCACCGCTACTGGCGGCCACCACTGAAGTGTTCTGATTGTGTACATGTGGTATGGAGTGATCAGATGTTACCACAATGGACTTTTCAGGCATGCTAGCTCCTAGCAAAGAAGTTGCACTAAAAAAGTTCAGAATTTATGTTCTATATATGCTATGATGTTAAATACAATCAGGTCATTTAGAAGGTAATTACATCGGTGACTTGATAAAATAACACTCTTGTTTTAATTTTCTTTATTAATCCCTTGACAAAAAAGAATGATACATTCTTAAGGATTCAATCTTTAAGATTTTGGCATGAATCCATTACGTATTTACATCTAAATTTATATTTTGTAGGTAAAGTATTCAGTTCAAATGAACTCGATATCAAAAAGTTGCCCTAGCCACACAAACATTATGACAAGTATTAGGAGTCATCGTTCTCTCTTTTTTAAATTTCGTATATAGTCAAGCTATTATAAACAAAGTAAACCAAAAGAAGTAACTAATATGTATGATCAATGGTGGAGCCAGAATTCTCACTAAGGGATTAAAATATAAAGAGTTAACACATGAAGAAGTCAAAGAGAATTTAACATGTACTACTACATATACGTAAAAAGTAATTTTAACCATATATGATATAATCGAATCCTAGATCCTTCCTTACCAGCTCTGCTGCATACCGTTTAAATTACACTAGTCATATATATATAATCTTTGTTAATGTATATAACTAAAAATATTATACCATAATAATGTGTTAGGTGATTACTACGCTTTACTCAATATTTCTAAAGCATGTACGGTTTATTCTAAATTAAGAAATTTTAAAGGTATGGCACTCTCCAAACTCGACCCCCTTGGCAAATTATATATCAATAATCATTCTTATCTTCAACATTTTTGAATTATTGAATGGATAGATTGGATAAAATATTTTTCAGTTATTCCATTTAATTGAAGAAAAAATAATAATTAGACTTAGTATCATGATTTCAGCAAATTGTGTCTCATCAAGAAAATCTTGACAATCTTTCAAAAGAATATTGACAAAAACATAATTCTAAGCTAATACGATAAAGAAAAAGAAAAAGAATGATTCTAATGCATGTGCATCTATATTATAAATATTAATTACAAACTAATGACGTACGTATGTGGCACGTCTAGGATTAAAGATTGGAGCAGGTAAAAGCTTCATTAAATAATTTAATTATTATAATCAGCAGCGAAGCTAGAAGGTTATTTATGGAGATAGTCAAACTTCGTTACTTTAGTTGAAATTTAGTGTCTCTATTTTCCCTTGATATTATTATTCTAAATTTATAAAATTTGCTAAGTTTCATATCAATTTTGTTATACGTTTGATGATAATTTGTATTAATTTGACGTAAACGTTATTGTCTCATTATAGAGATTTAAAAGGAATTTAAGGAAATTACAAGACAACTAAGCTAAGTACTATTATTATTATTTTAAACAAATTTTTAACTTTGAAAATGAGGATACATAGTGGATTATCTTATATGTGGTGAGTTGTTTAGTCAAACTAACCATTTCGTGCAAGTGCATGGTGCATGTTTAGACACGATTAATTAATTATCACTTAATAACTTTATGATCGTCTAATTGTCACTTAATTAATACCTCTATGATGGTCCAACTATAAAATCCTTCAAAATAATTATTGTTGTTATTATTATCCTATAATTTATATATAAGTTTCTCTTTCTCTTTGATACAGACGAAAATATTTTCTACAAATTATCCTTCAGATAAATAAGGTGAATTTTAACGAATTTATTTTTCAAAAAAAATATTCTCCAAAAACTTTAACTGATCAAACATTCCACGATACTCTAACAAGCTAGCTCGTAGCCAAGACTAACACCCATTTTTCTAATGTAACTTTTTTAACCTTGGTGAAAATGTCAAAGTGATACTACTATGGTGTTTCTTTTCCATCATCAAATTTAAATACATTCAATTAAAAAAGGAAAATTAAAATAAAGGGATAATTACAATTTTTTATAACATAAATTTTTTATTGATATACGATGTGAAAAGCCTCTAGTTTAAGTAGGGATTAATAGGAGAGGAAAAATATAGTTGGTAGCTTTAAACCTCAATTTATCATCTAAAAATACTTTTATCAAACTATTATAAAGTACCTCAACTTGATATTCATAGTGAAGATTTCTCTTCTTTTTTTTCCTTTTTTTTTTCATTTCTTGAAATGAAAAATGAATTTAAAAAAAGTATTACCTTTTGGTGAAATGGCCATTAGGTTTGTGTCTTTTTCATTGATATCGTTGAAATTTTGTTTTTTTAATGATCCCTTCCTCGAATGGTTTCTCTGCAACTTTTTTCATATTTCAAATCATCAGATACACAAACAAAAATAAATATATATATATATATATATTAATTCATAAAAGATATCGTAGTGTATATTATTTATTTACTTTTTTTTGGCTTAAAGAGAAATTCGTTTTTAAATTAAACCAATTGAAAAAATAAACCATGAAATGATCACTAGAAAAAGGTTAAATTTATCCTTAATTAAATGTCTCTCGACTTTAAAATTCTTATCTTCAATATGAGATTTCTTTTATATGTGAATTCGAAATACAAATTTAAGTATCAAAAATCGAATGAAAAAAAAAGACATTTAAGAGAGAGGAATATGAACTTACAGTAATTCTTGAATTTGCATTTATTTCTTTTTCTACAAGATGATGAGATATGTGTTCCATGTCCACAACAAAGCTCTCAGAAACATATACTTTTTCTTCACTAAATTCTCCATTTAAACTTTGAGTAGCCATATTTTCCTACAATTCAATTGGAATTGAAAATTTAAATATATTTTTATAGAGAAAAAAACTCAAACCCCATTTAACAATATAGTTTTTAAAATTCAATAAAACAGTTGTCACACCATATTTATATAACAACTTTGAGAGGGGAAACAAAAATTAAGATTTGACCCATAAAACAAGGCTTACCATATTTGTTGAATGAGGAGAAACACAAGGCCTATTATAAGGAGGGCGATACCACATGGGTTCATTTGATATCTTTTCGAAAAAATTATAACGTATATATAAGGTTGACATTATATATATAAAAGATTATTTAATTTTTTAAGTTACTTTTTAATATTTTGAATCCTCTTAATAAAAATCTTGATTCTAACATTAAATTATTGCGTAGAAGTTTGGGATGAGTTAAAAACTTAAATTTTATAGATTTAGTATTTATTTTATTATTATTTTTTAATGGAATATCATATTTAATTTACTAATTCACCCCATAGTTTAAAATAATTATATATTGCCTCACTAATAATAATTATATCATATTGATTTTAAATCAAATATACTTGGATATTTGTATTTTCACTACCAGATATACTGAAAATAGGGAGAGAGGTGAACAAGTGAGTGAGATAGGAGGAGGCGGACGAGATAGTCTATATATCTTAGATACGTGCAAATCACACACTTGGATACGAGATAACATTCCGCAATATCTTAGATAATTATTTTGGATCTAAGTTATATACATTAACATTGTTAATAAAGTTTTATGTTGTATATTAGTAAAATCTATACTTAGGATATGTTTAGTTTCCATTTTTCTAGGTTCATATTTAATAGCTGTTAAGAAATTTAGCGGTAATTTTCTGATAATTGATTTTACTATATTAATAGTAGTAGTTTTTATATGTCCATAAAATTTTACAATTTATTTTTCTATATATATATTTGTGTAAAATATATAATACTAAATTGAACTAGACTCCATGTGCCTGTTTGGAAGGTGTCACCAACTAGGAAATCATAGTTAATTAGCTGATGTATTTGACAACATAACAAACATGTTAAGTTCAAATAAGTCTACTTACCCTATTTCTAAATTCTTAAGTGTTTGTTAAGATTATGAGAAAGAAAGAAAACTTTATTTGGAAGACTCCATTATAAGGTGGAGTCAGATAAGATCGAGAGAGTTCGAATAAATTTTAATTATAAATTATATTATTTAACTATAGTTAGAATTATTTATTTTATATATAAATACATGTTAATTTATTTTTTAATTGTTCATGTGTTTTCTTTTTTATATTTGAATCCATAACCTCACTTAATTTATCTTTATTCATTTCTTTAACGCTAACTTATATTTTGGGTATTAAAAATAACTTACTTACCAACCTAACACGTAATGGGAAAAGTCTCTTTAATTTTCTCTATTAATCAATGTTCTTTAATTTCTTCTTTGTTTCTTACGCAGAAAACACGTAATTAACTTCGATGTATAATAGAGTTGTAGACACAAATATAGGCATACTATTTTATTTAGCTTTTAATAGAAAAAATGTCTTAATTATGACATGTTATTTGACTACACACTAAATTTAGGAATATAATATAATTTTTAAAATTTAAAATCTAAAATACATTTTTAGATTTGTGTATAGTTATAAGACAAATAAAAATAATGAATAACATCTAAGGAAAAGAGAAAAATAAAGAAGTGTTGAATATGATTTGATCAGTCATCGGAGATGGAGGGTGATCAATCAACTAATCAATCCTCACACCTCAAAGAAGACCGTTTTTATTATTTTTTGGATCGATTTTACTTGTCAAGTTCTTTTCTTTACATATTCTTTAAGATAAATATTAAGTAGAAAGTAAATCGATTAAATTATTCTTATTTATTACCATTATCTATTTAATCATGTATGATGCGCATTTTTTAAAACAAAATTTTATTAAAAAAAATGTACATGTGTGGCTGCTGGGATTCGAGCCCAGGTCTCCACGGCCACAACGTGGAATTCTTACCACTAAACTACAGCCACTATACATCCAATGTGGTTGAATATTTTTATACTTTTTGTTTTTATCTATAAAATATTAGTGATAAAAAATGTATTATTTACCTAAATTCATAGCTAAGAATATATTATTTTCCTACTCTTTTTCAAATTATAATTTTTTAAAATTCTTTTATGGATTTCGGGTACGTAATCTGACTTTCGAATATATTACTGGACTTCTAGATACATTAATAAACACCCGAATTTATAGATGAGAGTTATATCTAAGAGGGGAGGGATGTATCAGAGAAAGGATAGGACATTGGGATACATCACTGGACTTCTAGATATACCAGTAGACATCTTAATACATCACTGGACTTTTAGATATACCAACAGACATCTTGATACATAAGTGAAGGATGTATTCGAGAGGGGGATAGGGATGTATCAGGGAGAGGAGATTTTTGAAAAAAATTAATAGTAGAAAATTTTAGAGATTATTATAAAATAAAATATGTATTTAGGTCATTTTTCCTAAATCTAATTTATCCATATTATAATGTGTTGTCTTTTCAGTATAATAACATATCATAGTCACTCAACTGAAAGTTATCTTCTTAGAAAGTTACTCAACTAAGGTTCTTATCTTAAAAATCATTAAATTTTATTGGGATAATAAAATTTTGTATATTTGTTTCATTAACACCTTTTCTTTTTTTACTAAAATAAATATGATTTAAATTGTATCAAATGGCGGTAAAAATATCTTAATTAGGGAGCATTAAAATAAAAAATAATAAATAAATAGATAGATAAATTAATGATAACTTCTCAATATCTTGTTCATTCGCAACAAAATATTTTCTATGTGCGTCGGTAAAAAAAAATGCTTTTTGGGGGAGAGATACTATTTTACCAATCGAGTCACAATGGAATTAAAGTAAACTAAGAATCTTACTAAATTTATAATAATAGTTCTTTGATTAGAATTTTAAAATTTTGCGAATCAAATAATGAAGAGAAATAATAATATTTTTCCTGTTCAATTTATGTACATTGATAATAAGTATATTTTGATGGTAAAATGTTTTATATTTTAAAATTAACCAAATTAAAATTTAATTAATTATAGTAGATTATTTACTTTATTTACTTAATATTGCTATTATTTTGTCTCAAATAAGAACTTAAGAATAAAACCCATGAAATCAATACATGAGTTAGAGAAGTAAATAAATTTAAGTTGGTTACTATTTAAAAATAGATGGCAAAAATAACAAATTCCTAATAGTAATTTTAATAATTATGCAATATTCATATGAAAAATAAACTTTTTTTGTAATGATAAATTTATCCCTAATAGATTAAAGAACATAATAATTTTTTGTATATAAAATATAGCAATTAGAGGCGAAACTATATTTTCTTCAACTTCAAAAAACATTTAACAATAGAGACAATTGATTTTGTCACTGGTTGAAGTAAAACAATAGCGATAATATAATTTTGTAGGTAGTAATGACTTTTTTAGTAACAAAACATACTATTAACTACAAAAAAGTATACATACTTTTTACGACAAATAAATTTGTCACAACTATTTAAGGATTCGGGGACGATTTTTCTTTCTGTAGTTAATATAATATTTTCAGCGAAATCGTCTTTGTATACTTTTAGTGACGAATTATTTTTCGTCTCACAAGACTTTTAGTGACGTAATATGATTTATAAATGACGAAATTATTTGTTCCTGATAATTGAATTTGTTGTAGTGTATAGACATGAATTTCTCAACTCAAACACCTCCGTGGTTAACATGTAGTAGCCCCATGATTAGGAGCATAATCCCTAAATGATTAGGAACTCAATACTCAAGACTTAGACCTTGAAGATACTACTCATCTCAAAGATACTCAACTTATGCAGTTCATGCCAAATTTATGGGCATGAACAACTTCACTTGAGGGTCTAAATAACAATATGGAATTCATGTATATGATTTTTCTCATTTTCATACTTACTTCATCAAAACATAGTTCAAATCAATAGTTGATCTCAAATGATTCACAATTGAACTCAAAGACTTTTTTGAACTCTACTCGTAGCTCTTTCTTGAATTTGACTAATGAATTTAAAAGTTATGATTCATGATATGAAGGATCTCGATGATAATGTAGACTCATGAATACAATTTCATCACAATTTCATCACAATTTCAAATTTAAGATATGAACTTCTTTCAAAATTTTGGGTCTTATATATATATATATATATATAAATTCAAAACAATTCATATTTACAACACATCAAATTTTCAAAATTAGATTATTTTAAATACATATAAATCTATAGCATTTTTTTTAGAATAAACAAGGACAATACAACATGTGTATCATGTTTTGAATCACTCATCTAAAATGTATCATTGAAACCTATTGCTTTAGCGGACCCAATTTAATTTGAATAGAACTTTATAGATTATGCTAGTGCTATATAGACACGACTTACATCGTAGTTTATAGAGAAAAATATAGAATTGTAATGTTATGTTTATTTGAACTCAATATTTTTGTTGACATATATTTTAGATGGAAACCTTTATCAATATTGTAAATCAAAATTCATAGTTTCAAAAATAGAATTAAGTTTAATATTGAAAACTTTATGTAACTACTAGATTTGTTATTAATTCTTTGGAAAGATATAAGTAGGAATTTATCTGATAATGATATTATAAGTCGAAGAGTGTTCTTTGAATTTTGAGAAATAAAAACATGTCAAATATATTATGTTACATATACCTAGGTTTTGGAGGGAGCAAAGCCACACATAACAACATTGTAATGTCGTGTTCATGTCCAAAACCACACACCATATGTTTCTTTCTCTTTTTTTTTCAAATGGAAAATCTATCAAAGATAATCTAAGCATTAAATTTGCCTTGTCAAATTTTAAAGTTTTTGGCTAAAATTATTCCTGAAGTATAAGATAAATCTAAAGTATATCCTTGTATTACATAAAAAAAAAAAGTTCTTGCACTATTCAAAAAGTTGTAAGTTTCATCCTTCTGTCTAATTTTTAAGAAACTCATGTCACCAACAAAAAAGAATAATGTTTCAAGTTGAAAAAATGTACGCATGGTTAAGCTAGTCAAGTTGATTTTTTTAAGAAATTGAGGGTTTAAATCATATTCAGACAAAATATTTTCAAATTCTAAATATTTTTTGTGAAAGTACTATAGCCAAATACAAACTCCAACTTCAAAAATTTCTGTAAAGTAATTACT